TTTCCCATAGACTCTGTACTCGCCAATATTGCGTTCACCGTTCTAGAATTACATCTGTAGGACAAATTGAATCCTACAACCTGTTTGTTCATACTCAATCTTAAAAAACTTTTCAGAAACTGATAACATTACTTCTAATCAGGATGCAATAGAAATATCACAGAGTCCTAGAAAAACGACGATTTATGCAGTATACAGTAACTGGATGAATAATTGTTGATTTTGTAACGACTTTTAGCATGTTCACATGACTTTTCTAGAATATCGATGTCATGTACAAACCTATAAACATCTTTGTTTTTCGTTACTGGAATAAACAATCGAAGTAAAACTTCCACCAGTTAAACCTCTTCTGTTGTTCAGTTGTTAAACTCCGCGGGGGTGGGGGTTAGAAAGTCATTGTCAAGAGATCAGACAAATCAATGAGAAAACAATTTATTGATTAATCATTTGTCATGTAAGTGAATCTTAGATTATTATATTAAAGCAAAATTATGTTGAAAGGTTACAAGTAGTAATAAAAAACTACAGAATATTGGTTATTTAAATAAAATAAATACGTACATCCTATTGACTAGCACGAAACCCAGGTCTAAGAAGGATTGCTCCTACACAGTTAAACAGCTCAACATAGTGCACGCGATATGAAGTTACTTAGACGAATGGCCGAATCATTTATTGATGAGTAGAATTCGATCAATACTTAGAGGATTTATGACCTTATTATACAATTAGTATATTAAAGATTCTCATTGTGAAAATTAGTAGACAGCAGTATTATTGTATTTCTATATTCTCCTTGCTGTAACCTTACAGTGAACCCTACTAACCGTTGTCAACTATTGAAAATCAATTATATACTGCTTGACTCGCTTTCCACTACTTATGGCATAATTACGTCTGATAATTTATGTATATAACCTAGTGGAGATAATTGTTGACTGTGCTAGGTGATAGTAACATAACAGAAAGTTGACCGCTGAATTTTAAAACCCAAAGTTGGGGAACAGAGGAACATATGCAGATAAGCGTCCAGTAGGTATAGCTCAAGGTTAATTGTGCCGTCAGAGACATATCATTGCTGAAGGCTAAGAACACTAGGTTATAGATCAAACAGTAAAAATGCAAGGTAAGAAAATACTAAGTGGAATTTTGATTGGCAAATTTAGCTCACAATATCGATCGGGATCGCAAGATATGATACCTTCAAGTAATAGGAGGTTGGAACACCATCATCTTATCTACTTCAGCATTGAAAATCAGACAAGAATAATGTAAAACGGTATCATATATAGATCAACATAAATCACCGAACTTTATACCGATATAAAAATGAAACATGGTAGTTTTTTACCTAGACGGAACAGAGAAATGAATTAAACTAATAATCTTAACGATGTCAATGGTGGTAATTTCAAAATCGGCCATATGTAAGTATGAAATGATCGATGTTTAGAAGCATTAGTTTTGAGTTTCAGCATGCACATCAACTTCACTATTTGATCCAGCTGATAAATCCTAAAAATGGGGACGATCAGTGCATTCTAGATTTCACTGATAGTCACATTTCATTCATTCATTCCATTGAATAGCTATATTGTCGCTATTCAGAACAGGATGCACATAGACCAACCAAGAGTAATCAGTTAAAATATTAACCACGCGATAAATTAAAATAATGATTAAGTCTCCATCGTTCAATTAGAAGACAAGCCCAAGTATTATTAACCAATGCGCTAATCATTCTCTGTTGGAGAGAACAAACCAGATCCCAGTACACGAAGAAATGAACAGGAAGAAGAGCTGGAAGTGGATAGGACACACATTGAGGGAAGCATCCAACTACGTCACAACACAAGCCCTCACTTGGAACCCTCAAAGTCTAAGGAAAAGACGAAGGCCAAGAAACACATTACGCCGACAATGGGAGACAGACATGAGAAGAATGAACAATTATTGGACAGAACAAGAAAGGAAGGCCCAGGACAGAGTCGGCTGGGGAGAATGCTGGTTAGCGGTCGTCTATGCTCGCTCGATTGGAGTTAACAAGCGAAAGTAAGTCACTAATCATTCGAATTAATTTTAGACAAATGACGACTTATTATTATTATTATTATGAATGAATTCATTAAAAACTATCAGTGAATTTTCAAGAAAAACAAATTTTTCTTTTTTTAAACTAAACAAGAAAATTAGGGCAGGCATTAAAATTGTACATGATTCTTTTATAATAATAATAATGATAGTAACAATAATGATAATCATAATAATAATAATAATAATTACAACAATATTGTCAGATTAGAAAGCAATTTTTCCGCATTATTTTTACTTTTTCTCCCATATATAAATACATGCATGTATGTATGATTTGTCAGCATTCATAGTACTGTTATTATTGTAAGTAGTAGTGATAGTAGTAGTAATAGTAATAATAGAGATGTGATAAGTACGCAGACAAGTAAGTATATTATGTGCATAAATAGAGTGTAGATATACTCTTTCCTATCGATAAAATCAGTTCATCAAGCACACATCTTCCTAAAAAAAATAATCCAACTGATGTACAGCGAAACAGATCCACACACACAGAGAGAGAGTGTGTGAGTCAGTGAGAGAGGAAGGGTGAATGCGGACAATTTCACAAAAAAAAAACCATGATCATGATTGAATGACTTATCGGGAAAAAAAACACAAACATAACAATGAGACGACGGCAACATCAACAGCAACAGAAGAAGAAGATGAAGAAGAACTAGTCAAAATATGCAAGGCATGCAGCATTAGAAATAATTGAAACAGAAAGAAATAAACTATTTTTTTCAAATAAATAAAAAAACAATGTTTGTATGTATGTGTGTGTATGTGTGAGCTGATTACAGTGATTTTGGTTTCTAGTCAATTACAGAAAGAATAACATTGTATAAATAAAATGATTTTATCATCATGCAGACAGAGAGGAAGAGTGAGAGAGAGAGAGAGAGTAAACTGGGACAATGCAAGACAACTCTTTACTTACTGATGTGTAAGTAATTGTTTCTTATTCCAAAGGCAATGAGAAAACACACACATAGGTATACATAGCCCCAGATACATTTATATATATATATATATACATACACTTACATGAAAGTCAGTAAGCAAAATAAATAAAATGGGCCTAATAAAACCGGGATATGATAGTCGTTCTTTCTGCTATATATTGATGAAATAGAAGCAGGCATATAAATGAGAAAAAGAAAGGCGCAACACACACAGAGAGAGAGAGAGATGTGAGTTTGATTTGCATGACAAGTGTTATCTGTGTGTGTGTGTTTGTGTGTAACAACAATGTTTCAAGTGCATGTGTATACACACACACACAGATTTTTATTGATACTTACTTGTTCAGTAAAATAATAATAATAATAATAATGTATATATAGGACAATTAAGGCAATTAGTTCATAAGCCAAATAGTAGTAGTACTGTATGATGTATATATGTATATATATATGTATTAGAAAGCATATATATAGAAAAAAAAGTTTTTTATAATCCATCATAAAAAGAAATACAAACATGCACGCACGCACACACACACCCACACATACACAAGACTGTCACTGTACATATTCATATTATTTATCTACAAAAACCATTCATGATTGCATAATTATTATTATTATTATTATTATCATTATTCAATGTAAATAGAAAAAAAGGCCCAGTAAATAATGCAGTGTTTAGTAGTATCATGAGTTTATAGTAGTAGTAGGCCACTGGAATTGGTCCTAGATTGGTTTACATAGTTAAAAATGATTTGGTAGGAGAGAGAGAGAGTAAGAGCGCGTAAGAGCGCGTAAGAGAAATGGGACGCCGACACATAAACATGATGACAAAAATCAATTAAAAAATATACACATGCACGATTGTGAATTAGAATGATTGAAAAAAAAAATCGCAAAGAGAAAAAAGAAGACATGTCGGCGTGAATAAATGTCAATAAAATAATAAATGACGATTTTCACTGCTCCGGCTAATAGTAGTACTAGTTAGTAATAATAATCATAATCATAATAATAGGTAGTGTGTCAATGTTTAAGGTGATTGAAAGCATAAACTCTACATTCACACAAACACACACACACGTAAGACAAACTTGACAGAAAAAAAAGTAAACACTAGCTGTACAATCCAGTGTAAATAAAAATGTTTAAAATGATAAAGAAAGTGTTGTTTTCCACTAACTACTACTACCTCCACTAACTTATAAAATTTTTTATTATAAATCCTAATGAAAAACAATCTTTGTATGTACGTTGGAAAAACCCAAAAAGGTGAAGAATAATTAAAAGTCGAATTGTGAAGATTATCAAAAAAACAAATATTAATAATAATAATAATAATAATTAAAAAAGAAGGTTTATTCAACAAGAAATGTTGCATAGATGAGATCGTCTAGAGAGCAAAAACAAACAAAAAACACACTATATAATTTTTTTTAAAAAAAAATGATGATTGTAATAGGCAGTTGAGTTGAGTTGAGTTGTGCATTTCACTTACTAGAAATGCTATATTATGGGATAAAGGCGAGAAACAGGGAGATTATATAATAATACTAATAGAGGGAGCATTAAGACCAAACGCATATAGTAACGAATGTTGACTTGCATACAATAAGTTCTTCGCACACAACACATACCCCAACCAGTGTCAAATTGATAATAATCTGAACAGAGATTGATTTGTCAAAGGGGTAGACATCATAAAACAATGTTAAGAGGGGAGAGTTGAGAAAAGGAGACAAAAATGCTATATTGACCAATGAACGGTGTTACTTTAGGACAAACAATAACAACAACGACATCAATGAAAAGACGAATGACAGCATAGGGTTGGTGATAGTAGTCAATAATTGAAGAAGCATATGTTATACATGAATGCATGATAACGATATACAACTGTTATTTTCAACAAGAAAGCAAAATAATGAATATTAGGTCTAGAATGAAGTGAATTTATGCTTGACCTTCACGATAATGACCATCATAATACATGCTTCCATGATTAGTGTTATTACTGACACCGCCAGGTGACATCAAGACATTGTGTTGTGGTGGTTGTGGTTGTCCACCGCCTCCAGCAGCAGCTGGTGTCGGTGGTAGACCAATACCTCGTGGGATACCATATTCTGAATAATCACGTATACGAGGCGGTGGACCAACTAGTAGACCGGTGGTACCAGAACCGGATGGTTGATAAACTCCAGAACTGCCACTACCAGCGGCACCAACCCCACTGCTGCCACCACGTGAAAGAGAGTCTGGATTAAAATGATGATGTTGTTGATAAGTCATTGAATTATGTCGACTATGATCTGAGCCATTCATTTGGGCAGCAAATGCCATAGCTGCTACAGCCGGGGGAGGTGGTGGTGGCGGAGGTTGATTAGGTGGTGGTAATTGACCCAATACAGATGGAGCACGGTGAGGTGAATCTAAAATCCAATGAATACAGAGATTAACTTTGTATATTGTATATATAGGTAACTGAAATCAACTTAACTAAAGAAGCAGCCAGATTCGAAACAATGAAAACTGTGAAGAATACTCATTTTCGAAATGTTGTTTAAAGAGATATAATTGTTAAGAGTCTATTTTAAACAGATCTGAACAGATCAAATAACTGATTTAAAAAGGGTTGAATCCTTGGATTGTACAAGTGTACTTTGAAGAGTCATATTACTAGGACAAAATAACTGTCCAGCCCTCTGTTGTTTTTTAATAACCCTTAATTTTCGCATAGTTTCTGTCAGTTTATTGATAGAGTTTATCAAACGACGGTCATATATGTAGGTAACCTATTAATTAACATATTTTGTCATTCGTAATCTTGTTTTTCTAACAACACAAAATGATCTCTTTCGTATAAATCAAAAACACTTTCTTTCCTCAAACAGAAACGAAGTAACATCAAACATCTTACACTGAAAGCTCAGCATAACACAATAAATACTCTTTTTTAGCTTACCATAACGTATATATCTTGTTGACATAGATGATGGTTCCATTGATCCATTTGGATGTGGATATGAATGATGGCTAGGTGGTATATTGGATTGACCATTCATCATCATCATCGTCATCATAGGATCTGTATCAGAATATGGTCCAGGTGATAGAGTATGTTGTCGTTTTTGTACCATACCTAAATCCTATATGGATAAATATGAGGGAAGGGAATGAAAAAAGGTTGGGAGAAAGTTCATCATGACATATTTAATTGAGATATAATGTTAATATTTTCATGCAGTTAATAAACTGAGTGACACATAGCACTAACCTTCTTCTAACAAGTATATTCAATCAATTAACGAACATAAAGGATATTAAACGAATAGAGACTGATTCATTGTGGATTTGGAAATTAACGATAAGAAAATACAAATGTTACTAAATAAAATTCATATCCATTGTAAAAGTTAGTGTCTATTTGAACTCCATCATTCAGTGGATAGTAAAATAATATCTACAGTGAGAGATGATAAGTTCAAGCGTCAGTGAGATAAAGCTGAATATACAGTTGACAAGTTCAAAATAATGACGAAACACACATTTATGCTTAATAAGAGCTTGTGATAGACCTCTCTTTCTTACCGTATTCATTATACTATCGAAGAAGTGTTTAATTATTAAACTCAACAGATCATTATAATCATCAACTGTTCTCTACAAGTTGCCATCAATAAAAAAAAATATAATCATCACCAATGAGAGAATGAAGTAAGTAATTTAATAATTATTTCTTTACCATTTGTGAACCACGAATTGATTGTGCATGATTTTGTAAGCGCTCCATCATCATCATACCGCCGCCGCTGCCTCCGCCAGCAGCAGCATCATCAACACTGACATTTCTCGATGTATCTGACATTTCTGCAGGTTGTTGTGACATTGGTTGAGATTGTTGTTGTGATTGTTTACGTCTTCTTCGACGATGATGACGATGACTGCCACCACCACCACCACCTGCAGCTGGACTACCATTGCCACCGGGATCTGTAGTTGTACCTACTGCTGTTGTTGCTGTTCTAACACCACCATCATCATCATTGATATCAGCTGTTTGAATACTAGAGTCCACATAGCCTGGACCATTTTCACATTGATTTAACTTGAAGAAAAGTATGAAATAATCAAAATGAAATCAAATAAGTTTACAATCAAAATTTTTATTATTGAAATCATAAACTAAGTCACCATCATCAAAAACCTAGAAGCACTGGACTGTCCACTGTTTCGTCCTAGTATGAAACTCATCGGTGCTAGTGCATATTCACAATCTTTTGTGTGGGAATCTAATCTAGGATATTCAATCTGGTGAACAAATGCCTAACTTTCAGATCACTGAGCTGGCATTCAACAATGTCAATCTCTAACTTCAATCAATCCACGATATTGTGCGACTACCTATAGTCTTAGATGGATAATTGCTACATATCACTACTGATGCCGTTGAACTCCACTCCTTGTCTTTTGTTCTTAATAATTATTCCAAATTACCATGATACATAAGAAATAATATGAAGGAGTGTTTACCTATAAAGCAAAATAACCCATTCATAGGGTTTTGGAGATTGTTAAGTTTCGTATAAATCAGGAATCATGTTTGCCAGCAAGATAAAAGGTTGTAAGTTGGATTCCCGTTTTCAGGGTTGTAGATGCATACTACTGATGAGTCCTATGCAAGAGAAAACGACCGTCCAGTGTAGCCTTAATACAAAATCATTACTGTTGCCTAATTTTCAGGTACATAGTGATGGATAATGGGCTTTTCTTTACAATACTCTCCAGTATACAAACATACCTTTACAGGTTAGATGCAAACCTACCAAAGGTTGAACGATAAATTTAATAAAAGGAGACGAAATCTGACTTGTTCACAAATAAGCCAAAGCGAACTACATTGTAGACATTCCACTCTGTGTAACTTTTCAACTGCACATATACACTATCTGTAACCTAATCAAATCTATAGACTACAAGCACTGAGATAATATTTCCATCAGGGGAAGTTATCAATTTCTAACTGCGACACATACTATCCTCTACTATCCACCAGCATCAACACCTAACACCTTCATGGGATAGATGGCATATCTGTCAAATATTGAGCGTTGAAAATTTTGTTTATTGGTTTGTGTGACATGGAAAAATACACACAAAACATATGTGCGTTCATGTATAATTAAAATAGTTATCGGACTAATTATTATTATTAATCATTGAACATTAAGTTAGCCAATTTAATTAAGCATCAGTAACATAAATTAAGGAGTGTGACCTGACAAAATATAGAATCTCATAAGTATTCTTTATTTTAAAGATCCCGTTTTTATCAACTAAAATGACGAGTATATTACGTCAGTCAGGTCAGTCAGTTTTACTTTATGGTTGTAATATGTGACATCGTTTACAAATGAAAGCATATTACATAGATCTTTTCGAAATATTGCTTGTAAGGTAACGAGAAAAGTGAGAAATCAGTATTGATTGAGGTTGTTGGGATATGCAGTACGCATGCCTAGTCATCACTGCCTCATTCAACAGAAGTTGGAGTAAGAATAATTTAAAAGGAAGCTGACCGTATGTAACGATACCGAAACGTGCCATCTATTCAACAAATTAAAAATGATCTACATTGGTAAGTAGTATAGAATATCTTGTAAGGATCCAAGAGATTATTGTGATTATTAACTGGAAAATTTGGATGATATCATGTTTCAGTCAGTCAGCCAGATGCAACGTAGAACTTCGTACGTAAGTACATCAGTTCAGGTTGCCATACCACATCAGCACAGAGACGCCATTGTCAATTCAAATCCAATAGTAGAAGAGGTAGTAAAGGAATTAGAAGTAATCGGAGAGATTAGGATTAGAAGATATTATTCAAGAAGTATGATTCAGTGAGAAAAGTTTAGAAAGTCAAAACTAGAGGTGTTGAAGAATTCAGAAGATTAGGATTTGAGAGAACACAAAGAATAAATGCACCGGCGCCATTGCGAACGATTTTGAGCCATGTCATTCAAGGTCTCTAACCATCGATTATTATCATCTAGCGGACCCCAACCAGGTAGTCGATAATTACCGACATGGCTCAGTCCACTAGTCAATGACTTCATGGATTTCTGCCATGTTTTGATTTGGCCGCCCCTAGCTCTCTTCCAACCTACTCCTACACTACAAAACAGAGCTCGTCGAGGCAGTCGGTGGTTCGGCATACACAATACATGTCCCAACCACCTCAACTGATGAAGTTTCACCACTTCATCGATTGATCTGCCATCCTTACCTAGTACTCGTTTCCTAGCGACAGCATTGCTCACTCGGTTGTCCCACGGTATACGAGCAATGCTTCAAAGACACCTACTTATCTTTATCAAAACATTTTGACTATTCTAATATTTTTTTCATGATAATTTCGTTGTTGTGTTGTATTGATACAAAATAATAACTTGAAATGATGTATATATATCTATGTAGCCAGATTCTACATATTTTTGCTTTCATGTGTATTTTTGTGTTGTACATAAATAAGTATTAAAAAAACTAACAAACAATGACTATCCTAGTTGTCAACACCAATTGTTATGTCATTCTGATACAGATTCATTTAGTAGTCGTCACTTAGTCGTGTTAATTGTATTGTGTCAGTTGATCAACTGACTGGACATTCTCACACATCTACCATTTACTGACTAAGTGTAAGTTTGTAATTTTCAGTTGTTGATATTAAGAATTGAATTTGATCAGTTTATACTAGCATTACAGCACTGTCTAAGGATGTTTTGATGGTGACTGGTGGCTTGTTTGTTTCGCTAACATCAAAATATTTTGACAAGTTCTCTTTATTTTTGTTTGTTTTAACACATCAATTATGTCTGATAATCACATAATCTATTTCGGTGCATATACAATAAAGTACAGCCTGAGATGTTGTGGTCGCTGCTGAGAAAACACCTTTAACATACAAACACAGATATTACGCCTATATTTATTTACAGGCTAAAAAATTCAATGAAATCATATAAAAATAATAATAAATAAAAAAAATTAATTCAAACGAATACAAACCAATACAAAAGAAACACTTACTTGATTTTCTTCAGGCAATGGATTTAAATGTTGATGTGGACCAGTCTGATTCATATCTTGTTGACTAAAATATGAATAGACTGATTCACCGTCAGTATGATTGAAATTATGATGCCTTAAGAAAAAAAGAAAGCAGAATAAGAGAGAGGGAAGAAGTAATCATATTGATTGGATGATGAAACATGCACGCATAGAAATCATAAATAATTCAAAGCTATTTATTTATTACTCAGATTCTCTAAACACGCAGATCAAAATAAAGTAGTGTACACCTACTGATATTGGTTCAACAGAATTGAAAATGACTTCATCGGTTGATGTTATGTGTGTTGTTTGACTGCTCCTACTCATACAACAGACAACGTTGCCCGTCGAGGTAGGTGGTGGATAACCATACCTAAAACACATGTCCTAACCACCTAAGTTGGTTAACACTTACTTCGTCGTGGATCCACTATATTTACCCGGTACCGTATATCTAACCTCGATATTGCTCACTCCGTTGTTCAAAAAAATACAAACGATCAAATACTAGTGGTCTATGAAGATCTTCTATTCTTAATAGCTGTGTTTCACACCCATAAATTCAGATGGAGAGAACTGTTGGGCAGTAAATTAGTCTTTTATCTGGTAGATGGATAACTCTCTTGCACCACAAGTGCCAAGATTTCGTCAGATACCAGACTATTACCATTAATTTAGGCCCTGACGCACGTTAATCCTCAAGCAACATTTTGCATTTGGAAGCAGATAATCGCAGTGCGAATATGCTTGTATTGTTATTGAAAAGAAGTTGGAGGACTGTGTATTTTATCACCATCTCTACAACAGCACAACAAGATAAACAAGTCAACAAATAAATCTCCTGATAGGAGGAAAGTAGTTCTTGTATTTATTTACTTATCAATCAAAATTAGAATGTTGATAAAGAAGTTGACAACAGCACCAACTTACATCTGTCCCATAGAATCTAAATGCGATTGTGGTTGTGGACTGAAATAACCTGGATACATTTGAGCTTGTTGCATTTGTTGTTGCATATAGAGTGCTTGTTGTTGTTGTTGTTGTTGATGTGACTGATAAACACCACCCTGATGGTGTTGTTGTTGTTGAGATAGAGGAGTACTCATCCCATTAGGATACATATGTAATGCTTGTTGACTGCCTCGATAACACACAGCATTCATTGATACACCACCACCACCATTACTCATTGATGGATCAGTCATCATGGAAGCAGTTAATGGACCACCGCGTTGAAGTAATGTTCCTATAGTTTATCAAATGGTAAAGAGATGATATTTATGAAGTAAGTAAATATATCTAAATCGGACTTCAGCAGATTTCAAAGTTGGACTTTTCGGTCTTATGATGAACGTTTAAACTAGTGAGTTCAGTAGAATTCAGTGATACAATGTCAACTGTAGTCAAGTTTAGTGACAATACTTCAGTCATGATAACTGTCTTTACTATCAAGGAATATTTTTAAAAGGAAATCACTTAGTCTACTTGAAGATTGTCTTTTTAATGGAGAATCTTTTAATTTGTAGGTTGTATTAATTACAGACTGATTCCAGTTGGGGTATCATTACAAAAAATGGCGAACACAGGACAACTACTCTTCATCCCAGGGTGAAATCTTAATGTTAACCTAAACAGAAGTTGGTCTATAACAAACAAATCTTACAAAATTGACTATAATCTGTAGAAAAATCCATTAACGAAGCAAACAAACAAGCAGTCGATTATAAATATGATACAAGTAGCTTGTAACACAGAGAGGTGTAACGTTTCAGAGCATGTAAACATTAAAATGACAGCATAAGGTGGTGGAGATTCATGAGTTTCACTGAAATCATGGATCGACCAGTGAGAAACTACCATTAGAAAAACCTGGAAGCACTGGACGGCGGTTTCACCCTCGTATGGGATTTGATCAGTAGTGCATATATTCCCGACCCTACGAGCAGGAGTCACACTCAGGACTTTTGGTCTTGCGAGCAAACGATTAACCTTCAGACTACTGATCTGGGATTCAACAGCTCCAATGTCGAACCTTAAACAATCTATGAGTTCGCACAACAATCGCCTATTGTCTTCGGTGGATAAGTGCCTAACACCCGACACAGTTGAACTCCGCTGGTCACAGCTTCTCACAAGAACTTCAAGAGTTCCCTCATGAAGCTAGTCACTAGTGAGCACACGATAGTTTTCATTATAGAGTTGTGGAGATTGTTGAGGTTTATACGTTATATTATCGCTCGTGGTGTTGTGGACGAGCACTGCCACTGAGAAGTCCCATATTAAAAACGAAATAGCTGTCCAGTGCTTCTAGATTTCCAATGGCGGTCGAATATTGATCGGTTCATGATCTCAAACAAAATGATAACTTATGTCATTATACTATGAAACAAAACAAAAGAAATACATCCATTTATGGATTAATCACCACCTTATTAGATTGTAGCGTGTACTGACATCTCAAGTATACAGGGCTTATCCCAGCATTAATCCATTCTTCTCGAGTTATTGATCACACGTCTTCTAACCTTGTCTATTATTCGCTTATATCTTAGTTGTGTTTTTATTTGAGTAGGTGTGTCTGGATGCATACTTAGCTTATCGCATGTCTGGTTTATTTTTGTTCGACTATAAATAGATAACTATGCCTCATTGCATTGAGAATTTCTTCACGAAGCTAATCACTAGTTAGCACATTCTATGATTTCTCATTATAGAGTTATGGAGATCGTAGTTTTACATTGAAATCGTGAGTAGCAAGAGTTGTGGATGAATTCTGATTGAGTAATATATTATGTGATATCGACTGGCGATAAAATCAAATCATTTTGGTATTATCTACAAACACAGAGCGTCCTTCTGATAACGATATCATCATCATGGTCACCAAGCAGCAGCAAGTGTTGATTGAACGTTGTCTGAAACTGATACCATTTAACAATACTGCACTACATTCAAGGTCATAACTACGTTTAATTCTTCTTCTCCTTCAAATCTTCTATCATCATTATGATTGATAAAAGGAGAGTGTAAGTAAGTAAGTAGAAAGATAAAAACGTCTTCACAAATAAAGCTCAGTATTATGATAAGAATAGATCATATTGTTGTAGAATTGTAGCTGAATCGATCAATTGCACATTGCTGACAGCTTATATGTTGAGTATAACTGATTGACTCATATGTAACAGTGTGATGTGTAAAACAAAATGATTGACTTAGAAGAAAAAAAAATCGCAAAGAAATTATTTCAATTAATTCATACCATAACCTGATCCATCATGTAATGAACCAGTACCATTGATGACACCGGAACCAGTTGGAGGTTCACGTTTTAACGAAGCACCACCGCCAGATGTCAATGAACCAGGATAATAAGTTTGTTGTTGATTTAACATCATTTGACGATTTATAGTACCCGTATTACTTAATGGCGCTGGATACGGAGGTGGTAGACCCGATGATGATTGTGGATGCTTCACATATATGAGTAACAAAATAACGAGAATAGAACATTAAAAATGTATACATATTAATTAGGTATAAAATTTAGTACAGAAAGAAAATATACATCAGCAACGCTGACTGAAGTTAGACATTAACACTGTTGTTCAATGCCGGGCTCAATGAAGGTTCTGGACTCGATATCGGCGTACAGGGTTGTATTTAGTTTGTAGTTATTTGAACACAGTGGTTCAGTTGTTAATAACGCGTCGGAAATTTGAATTGAAATGTCTTAACTCCAAATCTCAACATGAATGTAAGTAAACATGGATTCAAACACATTTAAATGGAAAGCAATTCGCAGTTTTTGATCCAGCTGTTAGCTACAATCTATCTATTCTACATACGTATAACTTAACAATAAACATTAATAATGTAAAGTTAACAAGAAAATAGTTAGCATGACAGTTCTATAACGTGATAGGAATAGTGTTATGATGAGGGAAATGAAGGAAAACAACAAGCACGGCTGGGCAATCTGTCCATCTTTTTGAGCCACGATATCTAAGCAACCGCTATGTATGATGTGATCAAAGTGTTTTGAAGACTAGAGGACAGCCAATAATCTGGGTATTTTGCAAATGGAAGTCTGAAATTAAGGTGGACATATATTGCTAACAAAACTGTTCTCCTTAAATACATACATAATTATTCTATCTATCTGGTCTTGTGTCTTCGTTCATTACACTAGTAAGAGACACCTTACCAGCGACCCCAATTATGTGAAATCAAATCGACGACCTTCAATTTCGTGTGTGAATGCTTAACTTCTAAAACCGAAAGAAATATTTATAATCTCCAAAAAAAAAGAAAACTTACATAATGCTGATAGAATATTTATGATTTTAAAATGTTCTACACCCAAACAGCATTTTCGTGACTACTGCATTGATTAATATTATTTTAATTGGGACGTTAACTTTATTTTTGTGATAAGTAATGAGTTTTTTTCTGATTAGCGCCTTTTTAGCGAATTAGGTTTCTACGGTATGGGATCGCCAACCTAATTCTTTCTTTTGGCGCGCTTGAGACAGGCAGCAGCCCTAGAGGGGCTCTAAGCGCCGAGAATCGGAGACAGACATTCGGGGTAACAGGCGTAATTAACTTGGTAATTCAATCAATCAATCAATAGCAACGTAGAACTTCGTACGTAAGTACATCAGTTCATGTTGCCATGTCACAAGAGCACGGAGATGTAATTGCCAATTCAAATCCAACAGTAGAAGAGGTAGTAAAGGTATTAGCAGTAGTCGGAGAGGTTAGAATTAGAAGAAATTATTCAAGAAGTAGAATCTAGTGAAATAAACTTAAAAAGATAGTGATGAAGAATTAAAAAAGTTTAGGATTTGAGAGAACACAAAGAATCAATTGCACCTGCGCTATTGCAAACGGTTTTCAGCCATGTCATTCAGGGTCGCTAACCATCGATTACTAACATCTCGCGGACCCCAACCAGGTAGTCGACATCTACCGACATGACTCAGTTGATGGATTTCTGCCATGTTTTGGTTTGGCCGCCCCTAGCTTTTGTCCAACCTATTCCTAAGCCGCAAAGTAATGACCATAATATGAGCAGCATAGGGTCTATATTTTAAAATCGTTTAGTTTTTCTTTTCTGGCACGTTGATAACTTGATCAGATAAATATGTGTTTGACCGCTTTATACACAGTTTATCCTAAATGTTATCCCCCCATTTAATGTTTAAAGCGATCATATATTTTATCATATTGCTTGCTACAGTCTATATTGTTCCTTCATATGCATATGAAATTATTATTGAATTCGAGGATTTATTTTTATCCACAATAGAGGAACATAGATTTATTTATTTATTGATTGATTGATCGATTTAAATTATCCCAAATTTTCAAAAAAACTTTTATTGTTTATACAATAGAGCGCAAGAAAATAAAAACTAAATTAAATCAAATCAAAGAAAAACCCAGCGTTCATGATATTACTTATATTTTGTATATAAATCGGTATGAAACGAGAGTAAAAAAAAATAAAAATACTAAAGAGAGCAACTTTATAATTAGGAAAATATTATCCACCATTCAAGACATGATTGATTACATAAACAAATTTTGTGTCAAAAAAAAATATGATCAACCATGTGAGAGTATCTCTCTTCCTTCTCCTCCTAATCAGTCAGTGAATGGTGTGTATATCAACAATTTGCATGTAATTCAATCACTGTTGGCTAACTAACCAACTACAACTACACACCCTTTTTTTGTATTGATTTCAACTGAAATTTTTTTCTTTCTAAAGGACAAACAACAACACATAAACATACACTTTCATTTACATGTATTTTGTTTGAAGAAGAAGAGGAGGAAAAGAGGATCAAAGGGTTGGGGGTAGGCAGTTGAAATTGACAAAATGATTACACAATTAAGAATGTAGTAGTTTATATTACAGGGTATATAAACAAAACAGTATTTCTATTACCCATATTTTTCTGATAAGATATTTGTTTAACATCAACAACAGTCATAAGTGGGACTTTTGTTATAATTTGATTTTATGCTTGATATTTAATATCTTACACTAAATATTATTATATTTCGTTCTGACTGTTATTAAGACGTTATATAATATATATATATATATATATATATATATATATATATATATATATAGAATACACATAAAGCATACTTTGATAAGAACATTAAAACAACACATAAGCGAACAATACTGCATTGTTTTCGATTAGATCGTCATCAGGCTTTATACTCTATAATACACATGAATAGTTATATGAAAATGTTAGCCCGATCAAGGCAATTTGAGTCAACAATCCCAATGAAATGAATTAAATTAGGTCACTACACACATAGTAGGAAGACAGATGAGTACTGATAATAGTAAGAAAAATATAAAATACGATAACAATAGTAGGTGAAACGTGAATAAATAGACTTAAAATAATCATTACAAAGTAATTAAAACCATTAAGTAATAAGAAGTGTGTACATAATTAGATAGTGAAGAATATAAACGGGAAGAGACAGAAAATCACCAACAAATACAGGATGTGAAATGAATGCTAATAATAACAAAAATATAATTTAAAAAAATTTCAAACGTTCGTTAAGTCATATCCTGATGACTCGATCTAATCGAAAACAATAGTATTGTCCGCTTATATTTAATGTTCTAATTTTCACAATGGGAATCTTTAATATTCTCAAAAAACATTAAAATTTCTAGTTAATGTGCTGATAATTACCGGATTTGTTGTAAGATTTGAAAAAAAAATTCAATGAAATGATGATGGAACGAAGTTATTGAAGTGTTTGAAAAGAAAAGAACGAATAAAATATTATTTTTTACATCATTTTAGTCGAGCAATCATTGAAAACCAGCAAACATTGAACAGGTGTTTCATGGTAGGCATCGAACCGGTCACCATTAAATTCGACACCCAGTGAAGCTGTGAATGTGCACTGTCGAGGAGTACCACGATAAAATACAATACCTGTCCCGAGTGAGCAACGCTGTTATTAGGACACGGGTGCTAGGTAAGAATGGCAGATCAATAGATGAAGTAATGAAACTTCATCAGTTGAGGTGGTTGGGACATGTGTTGCGTATGCTCAACCACCGACTGCCTCGTCGAGCATTGTTTTGTAGTGTAGGAATAGGTTGGAAGAAAGTTAGGGGCGGCCAAATCAAAACATGGCACAAATCCATGAAGTCATTGACGAGTGGACTGAGCCATGTCGGTAATTGTCGACTACCTGGTTGGGGTCCGCGAGATGATAATAATCGATGGTTAGAGACCTTGAATGACATGGCTCAAAATCGTTCGCAATGGCGCCGGTGCATTTATTCTTTGTGTTCTCTCAAATCCTAATCTTCTGGGTTCTTCAACAACTCTAGTTTTGACTTTCCAAACTTTTCTCATTAAATCATACTTCTTGAATAGTATCTTCTAATCCTAACCTCTCCGATTACTTCTAATTCCTTTACTACCTCTACTACTATTGGATTTGAATTGACAATTACATCTCTGTGCTGATGTGGTATGGCGACATGAACTGATGTACTTACGTACGAAGTTCTACGTTGCATCTGACTGACTGATTGACCAGTTTCATCATTGCTCGTCATTGCACAATAATAAATAAATGTGTGATTACGATTTACATCTCAATCAAATGTTTTTTTTGGTGTTTTTAATTTGTTGTTTTTTTGACCTGAAGATGATTTCTTTGGGCCAGTTTTCATTAACATTCTAGACAATCCGATAGTGGTAGAGATAGTAGAAGTATCAGCAGTAATTGGTAAGATTAGGGTTTAAAGTTGTTATTCAAGAAGTATAGCCCAGTGAAACAAATATGAGGAAAGGCGAATTTCATGATGAACTCAGATTAAAATTTGGGAGAACACAAAGAGTAAGATGTACCTGCACCATTACAAACGATTTTGAGCTATGTGATTCAAGGTCTCTAACTATTGATTACTATTGTTTCGTGGACCCCAACTAAGTAGTCAACACCTACTAACACGACTCCCAGAAACTGCATTACTTACTCGATCGTCCCAGGATATACGACCAATACTTCAAAGACATAGGTGATCGAATACTAGTAGCCTACTAATATCTTCTCCAATTATTGGCCATGTTTCACAAACATAAAGTAAGACGGAGAGAACTGGTTGGTGGACGGATATCTCACCTACGCCCATTAATGACACAAGTTGACAGTTGTTGAACAAAAAAAAACTCTTTAATTCAAAAAGTTCACTTTTTTTCATAGTATAACAATGAAGGCGAAAAAAAACAAAAACATACTTACCGGAATTGGTGGTAGTTGCGGTTGTTGATATGCATAACCATTCTGATGTTGTTGATGATACAATTCAGTCATTTCCATTGCATTCGATGGACTAATCAAATTTCTATCCAATGGTTGTTGACTACCGAAATAATGTTGTGAACCACAGGATTGTTGTTGTTGTTGTCGTAAATAACGTGGTCCACCTGGTAAAGTACCACTATGAAACATTGTCGGTGATAGTACATTATTACCATTGTTGTTATTCTGTCCAGAAAGTATGTGATAATTTGAATTGCCACCACTACCACCACCAGTTGGAAGTAATAAAGAATGATGTGATTGATGATGCGGTAACGATGGATGATGATTATTAGTCAAATATGATGGTTGACCATGATGTGACTGTTGTTGTTGTAAATGTAATTGTGAACCAAGCATAGCTTGACGTTGTTGATATGCCTCTTTGGACATACCCAGTGCGGAAGCATATTGATCAGATTGATGTTGTTGTTGTTGTTGCTGTTGCTGCTGTATGTACATTTGATGCTTTAAATCATTCTGTACCAGATTAGTGTTATTATTATTATTAGATGTGGAATGATCTGATAGACCACTACATTGTAAATTACCCATCATCATCATCATTGTTCCAGATGGTACAATTTGATGATCATGTGTACTATGACTATGTGGAAGAGTTGTATTCACTAGATGATTATTAACAGTAGTAGCACCAGATGGATTATTATTATTATTATTGCTATTCGAATCCATGTTACCATTGTTATTATGATTTGTATGACTAGTCGATAACATATGATTATGTGATAATTGAGTATTATTTATTCCATTATTTGTTCCACCATCAATAGTATGATGAAAATCCGGTGAATCTTTATAACCATGTACATAACCATCTTAGAAAGAATAAAAAAAATTCATTAAATTATTAAGAAAATATTGTTAGTTAGAAAAAATTCTTTTACGGATATAATGGTTTATTATTATTATTATTATGATTTATAATGTGAATTACTATAGTTGACGAATGCAGACAGACAGACAGACAGATACAATGCAGAACTTTGTACATAAGTACATCAGTTCAGGTTGCCATACCACGTCAGCACAGAGATGTAACTGTCAGTTCAAATTCAAGAGTGACAGCGATAGTAGAATTATTAGCCGTGATGGAGAAGATTAGGGAGCGAAGATATGATTCGAAAGTGTAATTCAGTGAGATTTGATTTTGACCAATTTGGTCTCTCGTGTTCTGGTACGGGTATGAAGGCGGTTGTTACTTCCCGGCTGCCCACACCGTGGAAGGTTGTTTCTTGAGGAACCTGAAAAGGAAGGTAGATTAGTGTTGGTCTTTGAGACCTGGGTTCGTGACCGCAGAGCCCAATTGACAACTGCTTGAGGCCGGTCAAGCACGGCATTTTTATTAAAGGATTTTTGAGGATTAGCTCCGCTCTTGAAAGCCCTTAGTGGGCACCCTTACCCAAGGAGACGGAAATCCGTGATGTAGGGTGAGGTATGATATTTTTAGGGTTGACCTTTTCTAACCCTTCCTTCCTTGTGAGAAGGCAGCATCGCCACAGATGCTGGTTGTCCGAGGGAAACACCTTACTGCTGTCACACCCCTCTGCAGGCAGCAGTAAGACTTCGCCCTCGGACCTTGAGTAGATGCTTTTAGTATCATCGTTCTACAATCGACCCGCCTGGCACGGTAGAACCTCCAAAAACATATGTCCCAGCTAGTATAGGTCGGTTGGGTCATGATGATAGGCAAGCCCGACCACCACGTCAAGGTAGCAACTACGGTCGGGGTTGACGAATGCTCATAATTAGCCATTGAAAACATTAAGTTGAAATGATAACAGTAGTACAGTTGTATATCTTTTCGCAAATTTTAACTGAATGGTCACATGGACACCTCTATTTCTTCCTTGTCATACGTTCATTCTTGAAAATGTATATGATTTTCCTGATGTGATGACAACATGTAGTCTGCCATGGATTGTCTGACATATAAATTGTAACTTATGCCAGTTGATGTGAAAACTGCATATCATCTACTAGATAAGTTATAAACATTTAAACCAAAATAGAATAAGCAAATCAAGCTAGGAATAATGATGTTACATTTTTTTCACATTAGAACCAGCTGAGAGAGAAACATGACTGTCATGATAAAAACTAAATTTAAAAGAAATCATTTTAAAACTGGGAAGTTTTGAAAGTGACCGTCAATAACGCGGGATTTACATTAATCTGAATATAGTGAAAAATTTATGGGAATTTTATTAAGGATTAAACTATTTTGTAATTCAGTTAGTTAGTCAGTTAGTTACAACGTAGAACTTCGTACATACGTACAACACAGTTTAAGTTACCATACCATGATAGCACAGAGATGCAATTTTCAATTCAAATCCCATCATGGTACAGGTAGGCGAGAAGATTAGTAGGGTTCGGAGGTATGATACAGTGCAATAAATTTCAAAAGAGAAAAAAGAAAAAGGTTACGAGGAATTCAAAAGATTTGGATTTGAGAAAAGGTAAATAATGGATACATACATCTACACCGCTGTAAACGATTTCGAGACATTTTTTAATCTGATCGAGTTTAGTAAACCGGTTGTTGTTGATCAGAAAGAAAGAGAAGATGAACAGTAACGCCAACAACAACCAGATAAAATGCCAACACTGACAGTAAATAAATTATTAAATCATTAAAATTCAATAAAACTAAATATACAAATTTCTTTTTTGCGATGCACTTACTTTGTTTTTTACGTTGACTATGTGTACGCCGATCTTGATGTTGACGGCATAAACACAACAGTATCAATATGAACATGACGAGAAACATTAAACTGGCTATACCACCTAAGATTATGTATAATAAACGATTATTATTCAATGTATCCAGTAAACTATAACGACCAGTATAGTCGGTTGACTGTGTGTGTGTGTATGGGTTGTTTTGTTGTTTTTTGAATTGAAGAAGTATGTTCACCAAAACGAAAACGAAGAGAGAAAAAGAAGAGAAGATTAATAACGTATTAATTACCAATGTCACCACGTATGTCAAATTCTAATCAGTGGTCAATGAATTGTTAGTAGTTTAATCTTACAAGAGGTCAGCTTGCGAGAGGATAGGGGAAATCATAACTCACAGTGTTAACTACTTAAGATTATGAAGACGGATGATATGGGTTCGAATTCCACGAGGTGGAGTGAGCATCAGTTTTTCAAATATCATGGGATACACCTTAAATAACCTGAAACTGCAATCCAATACGTTTCTCTGTTCAATTATCTTCAAGCATTTAAAAAAATAATCAATATGCATAGTGTAGTTGAGGAATAGATAAGTGTAATCAGCCATTTTTCAGAATTAGGGTTAGATTAATGTTTGAACTTTCTCATTGATGTTTGGGATCGCAGTTGATCAATCTCTTTGAGATTATATGCAACCTGTGTAGATTGTTTCGATATTACAAACAGTTTTAGTACAGTTGATGTTCACTTAGGGATGTAGGTACATCTAGTTGACGAGTGGCAGCAGGAACGAAACGTGTAACCTAACAACCGCCATTCACCTCTTGCTAAAGTATATTGCTACGACAAAGTTAATCAAGATGAAGCTATAGATAATCTACTTTTCTTCCGTAAGATCTTTCTCTTAACATAATATTCATGCTCACATAACTTAGTATTAACAGCCAGAAATGTTGTTTCTACGGTGATTTAGCTTTCTGTAGGATTGAGATAATTAAACTGATTTATTAATCCCTCCTATTCAGGAGTAATAACCAAAGGCATCATCTTTTGGGTATCACCTATCGAATCCTGTCGACCAAGTCATACAAGATGATCATTAGGCTAATGACTATTTATCTACACATCGTATGTAATCTGTGAAAATATCAATCTGTTTGGTAATATTCATGAGCTTTGATTTGACCAAAGTTATTCTCAGTATGATAATAATAAGAATAACAGTAATATTAATAATAATAATAATAATAATAATAATCGTGCCGTTTACATACACACAAACACACAGACAGACAATGTTTATGCTAAGAGAACTAACAAACTTACAGCCATATTTACATAGACTGCTTTAGAGAAACGTGTAATTTGTCGATGATCACCAGTTCCTTTGACACCATAAACAATAATTTGATAATTAGCAGTATTATTTAAACCGGTCAATAAACCATCCTGTAAGAAAAGAAGTACAAATATGGGATTATTTGTTATTTTCGATAGTGTATTTCAACTGAATGCAATATGAATGCAGCAAGATATTCTCCATTATAAGAATGTAGGACATTCTTATTTTACGTAAGAGTATTGGGACTATTCAGTTGCTCAAACTAAAGCTAAAACCTAGAGTGTAGAAAATGAAAACTGAAGATCTAAGCTACTTGTTGGGGATGTTAGATCCCCAAAATTCGCTTGATAAATGCCTTATTTTGGTCTCCACGGTTGCCAGCATGGGCTGATCTGTTGACCTTGAGATTTCAATTCCCACCAGGAAAATCCATGGCTGTGATTGGTTGCTGTGTATTTTAGTGTGCTATTTTCTTAACTGTCTCAAGGACGTTTCTGTGTTGTATAAATAAACGAGAGTTGTATGCTTGATTGTACTGTGATTGCTGGGTGTTTGTAGAATATACTTTCTACGCTTACAAAGCCTTTTATTTCGCTTTGGGGATTCAAGGTAGCCTACCTGGACGCTGGTAAATGTCTCGTTCGCGTTTATCGACTAAGGTAAACTCGTAATAGCCTCAAGCATACTAAGTGACGAACTATACACTACTAGGCGATCAAAAATGAACAATCATTTCACATGGCAATTGTACATTGATGACTTACGATTATTTCATTGAAATCATGAATCGATCATAGTTAGATCCCCATTAGGACTAGGAAGTCCCGAACAGCCGTTTCGTCCTAGTATGGGACTTACCAGCAGTGTGCATCCATAATCACCGCTCACGGGATTCCAGCCCAGGACCATCGAGCTCGCGACCGAACGCTTAACCTCTAGACCACTGAATCACTGTGTCCAACGGTGTTAATGTCTACTTTCGGTCAACCCAAGGTATTGAGCAACCTCACACCTATTGTTGTCGGTGAGTAAATGCCTCACGCCCAACAGGATTGAACTCCACTAGTTACAGCTTCTCACTAGGACTCATAATGAGCTCCATACTAGGACGAAACGGCCATCCAGTGTTTTCATGTTTCTAATAATGGTCTAACAATGATCGATTCATGATTGCAAGTTACACATATCGAACCATATTTTAAATTACAATTCGGTTTGAATAGTGAAGTGCACTAGTATCATTAGTTATCTGTACTGAATGAACGGGTTACTTATTCTGATCATTTCGAGGCTCTAATACACTAAAGTAATATTTAAAACTGATGTAAATTGATCAGTGTCTAAGTACAATTGAATGTGACATGCCATTATGAAACTGTATTCAATTAATTGATGAATTAATGTTCAAATGTAAATGACACTTGTTTGTTTAAACCACTTAGTGAGTGAACCAATAATGATATGATATGCATAGAGTATCGATCCGAGTAAAAGAGTGGAATAGGATTGTTTCTAAAAGAAAACATGATTAGCAATTAGATAGTTGAAAATATCATACTCTACGAACAAATAAATGAATGAATAATTGTTTTTAAACAAAACAAGTAACATTACACACACACACACACATATATATATAATACACATACCCTAGCATTGGAACCATTCACTTGTGTAGCCCAATAAGCACCATATTCAATGGTACCAACAGAACCACGTTTTGGTTTAATGACAGGTCGTGCAAGTATAAGAAAATGATCAGCAATAAATTGTTGATTATTTAAATCATGAAGAAATAATGATGTTGCACTGTTACTACCACTACCAACAGTAGTAGTTAAAGATGAATCAACAAGTTGATGATCCGATGATTTATCGTTTTGTGATGAACCAATATTATTATTATTATTGTTATTAATATGATTTGAAGAACTTGATGATTTGGATAAAATATTTAAATCATTCATATTTGAAGGCACATCACTGACACCATTGAACATCCACACCACATGAACTCGACCTTCAGACTGAGATTCATTGAATGATTGAGTGTATAGTTTTTATAAAAAAAAGAGAAACAAGAAAGGTAAATAAATTTTTTTTAAAAAAACAGCATATGAACAATTAACATTTATGATATTGTTCTAGACTGACGACGTACTAGACAGACAGACAGATAAAACACAGACCTGTGTACGTATGTACATCAGTTCGGGTCGCCAAAACGCATAAGTACAGAGACGCAATTGACAGTTCAAATGTAATAGTGGCAGCGATAGAAGTATTAGCGGTAATGGAGAAAATTAGGGTATAATTCAGTGAGATAAAGTTAGAAAGAGAAAGCTAGAGATTATAAGGAATTCAGAAGGTTAGAATTAGAGAGAACACAAAGAGTGGATGCACATGCACCATTGCAAACGATTTTGAGCCATGTCGTTCAAGGTCTCTAACGATTGGTGACTTACGTCTCGCGGATCCCAACCAGGTAGCCTACATCTACAAACATGACTCAGTTCACTTGTCAATGACTTCATGCATTTGTGCTATGTTTTGTTTTGGTCGCCGCCAGCTTTCTTCGAACCTACTCTGACACTACAAAACATAGCTCTTTGAGGCAGTCGGTGGTTAGGCATACGTAACACATGTCCTAAACATCTCAAATGATGAAGTGTCAATACTTCACCAATTGATCTGTTATCCTTACCTAGTACTCGCTTCCTAATGGCAGCATTGCTTACTCGGTTGTCCCACGATACACGAGCAATGCTTCTAAGACATCTGTGATCAAATACTAGTAACCTACGAATATCTTCTACTCTTACCGGACATGTTTCGCATCCATATAGGATATACGAGCAAAGCTTCAGAGACACCTATGATCGAATATAAGCAATCTACGAATGTCTTCTACTTTTACCGGTCATGTTTCGCATCCGTATAGTAGAACGGAGCGACGACGTACTAGGTTTATAGTCAGTCATAAATACAGCAGAACCTGGTATTTGTTCAGTGACTCAATAAAGTTTGTAACACCAATAACAACAAAAATATAACAGAAAAGATGGAATAGTAAAAGTGGAAAATGTTAAGGATAGAGAATATGATTAGAGATGAAAGGAAGAATTTGTAAAATAAAAACTACAATATAAACTTTTAAAGCTTGATATGAAAATAGGGAAGATGAACAGTGTATGGATGATTCAGGTCACTACAGACGATAGTGAGTTATGTCACTAGAACATTTCTTGTACACGTTGGTCAATAGAACTCTGGTAATCACGATAATAATGCAATTCTTCAGTATGAATTTCGATTGATAATCGTATTACATTGAAATCCCAAAGCGTTCCCATTGTCTCGGAATGGTTTCAATGCAACTTAACAATCTCCAGAATCTCATAATGACGAATTGCATTATCTGCCAATTATAAATGAACAATGTTGACGATCCGCATACCGATAATTGTTGTGCCCACAAGAGACTAGCTTCGATAGGAGATTACTGGAGTCCCGCTGAGAAGCCGCAACCAATGAAGCTCAACGGTGTTGTGTGTGAGGAAGGTATCCAGAAGAGATACTGGGAGTTGGTGGATTGATTGTACTTAGACTGGAACACAATTAAGTATCGGTTCAGTGGTCTATAAGTTAAACGTTTCCATACAAGAGTCAACGTCCTGAGTCCGATTCACTGTTGTGGGGTCATGTATATGCATTCCTGAGGAGTCACACACTAAGACGAAACGGCCGTCCAGTGTTTCCAGGTCTACAATAATTACCTAAATCAGGTCAACCTCAATAACAATACATTGTTGTCTGAAAAGAATTCTAGTAAGAGTTCACAGATCAGTGGAATTCACCCAACACCAGTAGATGACTGTCATACAACACCGTGAATTGAAGTTGGAAACTACTTGTTATCTATCATCTCAGTATAATGAAAGTAAGAAGCATGAGATACGATAGGCTTGAATATCCAGATAGATGCGTAAGTATACACTGATATTATGAAATCCTATCCTACTCATCTGATTTACTCATTCCCTAATTTTCAATATCAATCTAGCTAACAACACACTAATTTATAATGCATGTTTGACAAGTAACTTTAAAATTCATTCATTCATTCTAATAACAGTTTCTGATCAATAAATTTCAGATAAAAACAAAATTCATTAAATCCTTGAAAATAAATAAATAATTAATTAATTAATTAATTGTCCCTGTTCAATGTTTAATGAATGCAGTAAGTAAATGAACAAACAAGTAAGTAAGTGTACAACACTACAATATAGCAACAGTTTAACAGTGTATTTATTATTTTTTACGCAAAGGGCCACCGTGATGAGGACAAAAACAACTACTTCATTACGTTTTATCACACAACACAACATAACACAACACAGCAATTAAAAGAAAAAACCTAATTTAATCAGATATAAACAACAAACAACCAAAAAAACACAGCAATAAAACGTAGGGGGAGGAAGTAGGAGGGCAGCAAATAAATTCTAATGCAGTTCATTTGAACATTGGCATCAATCGATTAATCAGAGGTCATCATCTTTTCTTTTCTTTTTTTTTATTTTTTAAATCACCCTGATAACTGTCTATCTAGTTTATTTATTTTTTTTAAAAAATAAGTTAATACCAGCAGGATGTACAACAAGCAACGATCAAGAAACAACAACAACAACCGTAAACTATATTTAACACCAAACAAGCAGTGATAGTTTCAAATAAACTTTTATGTACAAGAGTTATTGCATTCGACAAGGTGTGTGTGTGTGTGCATATGTGACTATGTGTGTGTCCGTATGAGGTAGTCAAATTGTGCAATTAATTCTGTCAAGGTTAGTCAGTTTGGTTAATGACTTTCAATATAAAAATACGAGTGCAATTGTTTTGGTATGAAAAAAAAGATCAGTTTATGAAAGTTATTGATTTATTATTTAAAAGTATCAATCAATCATTGTAAGACCAACACCATTAGACACCTGGAAGCACTAGTAGTGTATGAGATTCATCAGTGTCAATGCGCATGCACAACTGGCGCTACTCACAGGAATTGAATCGAGGATTTTCGGTCACGCAAGCAAATGCCTCGGTGTTAATGTCTAATTCTGATCAATCTAAAGATTTTGAGCAACCACACACATTGTCTTCGGTAGGTAACTCTGCCTACACCCTGAGAATTTCCTCACGAAGCTAGACACTCCGTAACTCTCTAGTGAAAACCAGTAATTGATATATTTAGATTTGGTAAAAATAGGTAGGATTTTCATAGTTTTTAAAAATAACGAATTAATCTCAGTTAGCCCATTTTATTGAAAGCCTGGAAATATTGGACGCGTTTTTCGTCCTATTGTGGAATTTCCTTTGTGACACTGTATATCTATGACCCTATGATAAACAGGTAATCAAACACGAGATCTTCAGTCTTATGAGCGAACACTTAACCACTAGACCGTCGAGTAGAGGATTCAACCGATCCCCCCCCCGGATTACGTGATCATCTTCAATCGTTTGAGGTGAATAACTGTTTCATATTCAACATGGTTGAACACTACTGGCCATTGTTTAGTAAGATTTGTCATATCTAAAAGCAATCATGAATTGTTATCACAGCTGAAGAACTATTTTTGAAAGCGCATGTGTATGTATCGTAAAGACAAAAAAGTTTCGTGTTCTAATCTAGACGTTATCATTAATGTGTATCTAATACTCTAAACCCGACCGTAGCTGCTACTCTAAACAAAATAAAATATAGGAGTTTCAGATATCACTGTAGTGTGCGTTAGTTAATTGAGGGTTGTGATTCGGCGACGTAAATTTTGCAAATTAACTAGAAAGATATCAAATTACAATGATTCTTTGTAAAGATTATTTATTTCATAAATGATAAACTTGAAGTGTACGGTAGTTTTTTTTTCAAATTCATATTTCTTCAGTGACATTTGTTGTTACCTGATTGGCTGTTCTCGCTCTTAGTTGGATATCTTTGTTGTACCTACCACAACAGCAGCTTACACGAACTGAGCTGTTGGAATTTTTATCTTGTTCTAAAAAAAAACTTTTTCTTGAATTACACAGATTCTCACTAGAACTCTATGAATTACCCACTTAAAATCAATCGCTAAGTAAGTACATAATTGCTATTATTATTATTATTATTGTTAGCGACCGAAATAATAAAAAGGGGATAGAGTAGATTTAACATAATTTAGACTTACCATAGGTCGAACCACTTTAATTTGTGGTGGTTCCACTTGACTAATATGCTCCATACTAACTATATTTGACCAACCGGATGGTGGGACTAGATGCAATCCAGTAGATGGATCCAAAGCGATAACACGAAAACGATAACGTCTACCTGGTTGTAGTGGATCACCGGTTGCATAAGCGTATGCTGATGAAAACTGTAATTTGGCGGAGAGGATGGTTAAAAAAAAGTAAAGCGAGAACATTTTTACTAAAATCACTTTGGAACTATTACATAACTTTCTACTGAGAGAAAGTTGACAAGGGTAAAGGTGAGAAGAACAAATAGGAAAATCCAGTCAATCATATGAAACATAGAATCTAACATGAAACATGTATCACTTCAAGTTGCCTCTTTTAAGCCGAATCCAACAACAGTAGGAGTGCAAACAGTACCATTAGCAGGAAAAAAGATTAGTTATAGAGAAAAGCAAGCGGAGATTCGTTCAGCCGCTCCTAGACTCTTTACAACCCACTCCATCTCCTACACCAGACAACACCAAACGTCGACGTAGGCGGTGGTCGGGCACAGGTAGCATATCAGTCAGTAAACAAAAACGTAGGACCTCGTACGTACGCAAATCAGTTTAAACTGCCATACCACGATATTCACAGCATACACGTAGCATATATCACTTGATGAAGATTCGGGAAAGTATTCCGGTAAAGAATTGAATAATTACGACTTGAGTTTTAGTAAATCATATTACAGATGCTAATGTACATGGAAAACATTTCAATACTATACTTCCCATCGATAACGTGTTGAGCATTTGAAGAAAGTAATGAAACCGAATCAGAATATAAACATCAATCAAACTGAAACTCAAGTATATCGAACTGATGAGCCAAAAGTGGGACTCTACTACGAATCATAATTCATCCTTTCTATACGACAAATGACTCTAAAGTAACGCATGCTCATTGGGTGAACGACTCCTGCTACTCAAAAGAATCGAACGCAAGGACCCTCGGTCTTGCGTGCAGACGCTTAACCTCTAGACCACTGAGCCGACATCCAACTGTGAAGTTGCGCAAAACCTTAGATTGATCAAAGTGCATCAATTTCACAAACATGCAAAAAATGTTCAAATGAAAAAAAATTAAAAAAACAATTTACTTGTTGATTCAATGCAGTTGGATCACTCCATAGAATAGCTTCATGACCAATTAAACCAATTAAAGCAGGTAAATCGGATAAATCAGAAGATGGTTGATTATTATTGTTATTATTGTTAGTATTACTGTTATTATTATTATTATCAGTATTATCCGCCATATTGTTATTTAAATTAGAATTGACATATTGTCTTTCAACAGGACTTATTTGCATAGAATATTCAACATGATAAGCAATTTGTCCATTGTTGGTCGTTTCAGCATTATTTTTATCGTCGTCGTTATTATTAGGATTATCACCGACATCACCACCACCACTGACATCAACATCATCATTGTGATGAGTTGGTATTTCTAATTTCGTAGGACTATTTGTATATGCTTTCCATGTAATATACACTGCTAAATTATCATAAACTGGTTCAGCGATTGGTGTTAAACTATCCGTGATTATTTCTGAAAATGATAACAAAGAGATGGGAGTGAGAAATAAGAGATGAGAAGATGCGATGATGAATTAATGGAAATTCTTATACGATCATTCAATTCAGAGATAGAGACCAATTAAATGTGTAGTCAGTTATAAGTAATGTACGAACTGACACGCACACACAGGTAAGTTAGTTTAAGTTGCCAAACAATATCCGTACATGAAGATGAATACCGCAGTAAAAAAAGTAGGGTATGGAGGGTTTTGGAGGTTTGCGATTTTACACAATTGAAATCATCAATCAATCATTGTTAGACCACCATTAGAAACCTGGAAGCACTGGACGGCCGTTTCGTCCTAGTATGGGACTCCTCAGCAGTGCGCATCCACGACTCCTGCCCCTCACAGGATTCGAACCCGGGACATTTGGCATTGTAGGCGAACGCCTTACCATCGGACCACTGGGCCGGCATCCAACGGTGTTAATGTCTAACTCTGATTGATCTAGGGATTTTGCTGAGGAGTCCCATACTAGGACGAAACGGCCGTCCAGTGCTTCCAGGTTTCTAATGGTGGTCTAACAATGATTGATGATTTCAAATGTGTAAGAATAGAAAACCCAACCAAGTGTTCTGAATCCATGTGCCAAGATTTAATCAGAGTTGATACAACTTAGACGATAAGTGCTTCAAACACTTGACTACAACTTCATCAGTCAAGCTTTTTCACTAAACACAATTGAAATGTTGATATAATGAATACTTTTATACAAGACTGGTATGATTACTGAACTGTGTTTCGATTGTGAAGAAAATGAATAAAACAGAGAAACACGATCAATGAATTGAGGAATAGACATTAATATAAGACGAAAAAACGCATCTTTATTCTAATTTTCTCTATTTATTATATATATATATATATATATATATCTACCGCTGTTTCTCTCAAGTGAATACAACCAACAGTGGTATGAGTCACGCACACACATACATACATACATCAACAACCATAACTACTGACTACTAAGTAAGTACCTTGGGACAAAGTGATGATATGATGATAATAATAGTAATAGGCAATAAATAAATAACTGATTAGTCAGCTTGTAGTAGAGTAGGGTAGGTAAAAAGGGTAGTGTAAATAAAAACAGAGGTAGCCAGAGAGAGAGAGAGAGGGAATGTAAGAAGGGTTGGGTATTTTTTTTTCTACCTATTTTGTCGGTAGACCAAAAAAAGTTTTCAACTCCAAATGTTGATGATTTATATTCTGCCAGCATGATTATAGCTTGCTTAACTGACTAACTACAACTACTATTAATTCGATGTTATCTATACACCATAATAATGCACAGGCACACATACACAAGCAAGCAACATCGAGATCGAAATGACCCAAATGGGAAATATACGAACTCCATCTCTCGCTCTCTCTCTCTTTCTATTGCTCGCTCTCGCTTCGCATGAAAGTAGGGAATTTTAATTGTAATGTGTTAATACTTGCATGGGAAAAAAGGAGAAAAAAAAGATAGAAAAGGAATACCATCAAAGATATTAAGAATAATGTGTGTAATATAGCAATCAATATTATCATTATTATTAATAGCATTAGTTATGTCTCAGTAAACTTTTCAAAGAAAAAAAAAGAACACGCAAAGACTCATGGAATATACAAACAAGCATAGAGGTATGCATATATGTATACAAAATGACTAAGAATAACCAAAGCCAATTTATTTTTTGTTGTAAAGATTTAATCCTATTCAATGTGCGTGTGGGCTAATTGTAGACAAATTCATATTGAGATCATGAAACAATCTGAGTGTTAGACATGGATTGAAAACCGGGAAACACTAGTGTGCAACTCCTCAAGCGGTGCACACTCACGATTTCACAACGAGGTAATCGAACCCAGCACCTTCAATCTCATATTAGAACACTTAATTTTTAGGCTTGATGTTATGAAGTAGTAGTGGTAGTAGTAATGCGTTACACATTTATTGATCTCAGCAAATGCTTCATGTGTATATTTTCTCCACTGACTGTTCATATTGATAGATTGATTTGGAGTGGTAGAAAAATTGTATCAAGTTCTATCTTGTCCTTTATTGACCGATTATTCATTGACGATGGTGAGTAAAATGAGATGTCAAAGTTAGCAAAATTAATTGAGATAAACTATGCGGTAGTGAAGCCGCGAGAGAAGTAACAGTAGAGATAATCACAAATCCTTGAAATTGAAGGACACTTGGTATGTCCGAGCTTTGTTTAAACTGCATCCAATTTTAAAAATGAAAAAAGGTTGCCAAACAATCTTTTTCGAGCATTGACTCGAATTTAATTCAGTCAGTCAGTTACAACGAAAAACTTCGTACATGAATATATAAGTTCAGGTTGCCATACAATATTAGCACAGAGATGCAACTGTCAATTCAAATCACATAGTGGTAGAGATAGTAGAAGTATTACTGGTAATGAAGAAGATTATGGTTCCAAGATATTATTCAAGAAGTATAATTCAGTGAGATAAATTTAGAAGGAGAAAGGTAGATATTATAAGGAATTCAGAAGGTTAGAATTAGAGAGAACACAAAGAGTGGATGCACATGCACCATTGCAAAAGATTTTGAGCCATGTCGTTCAGGGTCTATAATCATTGGTGACTTTCCTCTCGCGGATCCCAACTAGATAGCCTACATCTACCAACATGACTCAGTCCACTTGTCAGTAACTTCATGGATTTCTGCCATGTTTTTAGGTCTGGCCGCCCCTAACTTTCTTCCAACCTACTCCTACACTACAAAACATAGCTCGTCGCGGCAGTCGGTGGTCGGGCATACGTAACACATGTCCTAAACACCTCAACTGATCAAGTGTTACCACTTCATCTATTGATCTGCCATCCTCAATATATAACAGTAAGATTTTTACAAGGGACTACGTTTGGAATCATGCAAATCGACCAACATATACATTGTATGTGTGACTGCAGAGCAAACCCAACTTACTGCTTAAAAAAAAAGATAAAGTTAGGACTTGAAATGAAATCCTCCTATTGGGGAAACAAATACACTACAAATTCGCAGACACGTATTCTTTTCACCTCAAAAAATAAAACTGAAAGTTTCCCTGTACATTATTTAATTCATTACATGTGAATAAAAACCGAAGATTGATTCATGTGTAACTATTGTTATGTATTCAATAACAACAACAAAAGAAGCACATACACAATGAAGACGTATGTCGAATACAATTTGAATCGAATAGTTAAACGTAGTGTTCAATTATCATCAATGCCTAAGTCAGATTTTAGATAATTTTTTTTTAGGAAAAAAATGTTACAGAATTTGTATTTTTCGCATATTATTATTTATTTATTTAGAAACAAAAATTGGTATTCAGGGACATTGAAATATTTATGCGCTTCAAAATTAATCGACTTTGTGAGCTGGCTCAGTCGGCCAAACTGAAGTATGTGCTTTTACTAAGGGAGCTACAATCCAAAACTTTGATCCATAAAAGTCTGATCTACATAGTACTGGAGGAACGTTATGAGATGCAGTTTCTTGGTAGTCAATAGATCAAGAACACGTCCATACGCTATTCGTTCCTTCGGGGTTCTGGAGCCCATGTACACCATTAGTTTGGAATTAAGGTTTTCGAACTCTCTGAGATAGATTCTCCGGGTTAAAGCACTGGATAATCGCTTTTTTCCCACTCAACTTCGTAAACAACATCCCAGTTACGAGAAGGCGGTGAGTAGGACTCTGCTGTCAGTGGCTATACATGCGCGGTGGGGTGAGAGCATATCGAGAGGCAGATAGGACTCTCTCCACTCTTGGACGTACAAGGGCTATTGGAAGCAGTTTTTTGCACAAACAAGAAAGATTTACACTATTTTATGCCAAATCCAATTAAAATATTAACACTCAAAACAGCTGTAGGAATACAATGAAATAAAAAAAATAATGGATAGTTAACGGAATCTTGTCTTTTTTCTTTTGTTGTTGAAATCAGCTTTATACAAATTTGTGTACACGTTTTTACAAAAAAAGTAAACAGACACCTGTTAAAGAAATGCACATGTATTATATTATCATTTCAAAATTTTGAAGTTTATGAAGAAATAAATAAAAAAAAGGGAAAATATGATATCAGTCACTGTCAGAAATCAGAATAAAATGTAATATAAATAAGAAAATTACAGTAATGACAAAAAAAACTATTCAACAATTAACTATACACAGTAAGTAACAAACAACAAATTTATAGTTTCGGTCATTTGTAAGTCATTTTACATGGTGAGATACTTTAAACTTAGTTAGATATTACTTGATAGTTTTAGGACTCATTAGACTCGTATCAGTTACAGTTTGAGTAGTTCAGTGGTGACGTGTCAAGATTGAGTAGAAAAGAATCTAATACAAAATTTTACATTCACTGAGTTCTTTATTTCAGAAGTACAATGAAATGTTACTGCACAGTTATTTAGTCACTACTCTACGATAGGTAAAAATATAATATTTATTCCAATTCGGTTAATAATCAGTTTAATTGCGTAATGTGACGTTGGACAACTGTTATGCTCGTCTCCAGGTATGTTTAAAACTTTTACGAGTTCACCTTAGTCGAATAACGAGAACAAAACAATGAACTAGCGTCCAAGTAGGCTAATGTGATCCGATTGTCCTAATTGTACCAGCAAGAAGTCTTGATATAGCGTAGAGAGTGTATTCTACAATCACCCAGCCAGCACACAATGACTGTAAGCACTCGAATTGCGTTTATTTATACTACATAGAGATGTCCTTGGGACAGTCACAAAAATAGCACACTAAAATACACAGTAAGCGATCACAGCCAAAGGTTTTTCCTGGTGGGGAATGTGATCTCGAGGTCCACTGATCAGCCCATGAATAAAACCCAAACTAGACATTTATCAAGCGAGTTCTGGGGATCTAACATACCCAAGAACAACTCACGTAGAGGGAGTGTGTTCGCACAAAGAATCGAGAGTCCTAGGTTCGATGCAGTGACTCCGGGTGTGTACTGCCATTGAGGAATCCCACACTAAGGAGGAAGGACCGCCAAGTACTTCCAAATTTTCAGCGGTGATCTAGCTACGATCAGTTTATGATTTAAATTGTAAGAATTGTTTATTTGAATCCTACATAGAGCATTGGTTTCCTCATAACTATAGGTGAACTTCAGTGATGGACAGCAGCTTACTAGGAAGTTAGATCCAAAGTCTCTTCTTCACCATTTGCAAACACCTAATACATACATATATATATTTTTTCCAAATATAGTTAACTCACTCACTTTAAACAGTATGATGAGAAAAAAAAACACTTTCCTCAACCAATGGGTATACACACACAAGTCTTTATATCACAGTTGTTCAACTTATTTAACAAGTATAAATTATTCAAGGAATAATTCATTTCATCAATTACAAAAAAAACTATTACCTGGTGGTTTTGCTTCAATAATTGCTTGTTTTGATGTTGGCAATAACGAGGCTAATTCTTGAGCTAATAAATGAAAACAAAGAAGAAAAAAAGAAGAGTGAAAAATCAATAAATATTCGAAAAGAAAACATAGAGAGGAAAACCAAGTTGTCGAATAAGTGTGTATGTGTGTGTGAGAGAGAGAGTGAGAGTGAGAGAGCGAAAAATTTCCATTCCCATTATGATCATCAGATTGTAGCAATTAACATCATCATCTTCATTAAACATTAACTTTTATAGCAACTGCTTTTAAGTGTGAAAGAAAACTCACAGAATATACATTTTTTTTTCTTAGAAAGTAATAAATACCATATAAATTAACATTATTTCTGGCAATTTATTCATTGTTGTAAAGTCTAAAAATTGGTTAGTTAGTCAATTAGGGAAAAAGAAAGAATGACGATAGATAGATAGGATAGGTGTAGATGGTAGATGTAGGCTACGTGGTTGGGTTCCGCGAGACGATAGTCACCGATGGTTAGAGACCTTGAACGGCATGGCACAGAATCGTTTGCAATGACGCAGGTGTATCCACTCTTTGTGTTCTCTCTAATTCTAACCTTCTGAATTCATCATAATCTCTACCTTACTCCTTCTAAATTTATCTCACTGAATTATACTTCTCGAATCATATCTTTGCTCTCTAATCTTCTCCATTACTACTAATAATTCTACTATCACCATCACTGTTGGATTTGAACTGACAGTTACGTCTCTGTGCTGATGTGGTATGGCAACCTGAACTGATGTATTTATGTACGAAGTTCTGCGTTGTATCTGTGTGTCATATAGATAGGATAGAATAAACAGACGACTTCAAGTTATGAAACAGTTTGCTTTGATTTGAATGTGAGTATATCTTTGTGTATGTAATAAAATAATGTTTCCCTTTTATTTACACACAACCGTAAACATAATTTCATGTAATTGAACTGATCTCAGTGGCACTGTTTTTTTTCTTCTAAGCATCATTCCACTTATCCGCTATGTTTTCAATGTTCAAATGAAAAAAAAGTCTTCTGTTCATTTACTAAATATATATGAATGAATGAATGTACTAACTACATTGACGGTGTTTGTTCATGGCAAATCACTAGTATAGAAGTTTGAAAAAAATTGTAACATCAATATATACAGCAATCACACACTCTAAATGAGTAGTAGATAATCGGTCAATAAATAATTGAACATTAAAAAAAAATATGATTGGCTAATTTGAATTATGAAAGGAAAAATAACATCTAATTGCCAATCAGTTGTTAGTTGTTCAATTAGAATAGAGATTAGATTCATTTCACTGGTGTACGAATATATATATAAGTACATCTACGGAACAAAAATCAGTCGAGACTAAAATCACTGTACGGTAGGTAAAAAACAGTTAGTTAAATAATAATAATACCACTTACATGTTTGAATAATTCTATCAGAATTCAATGCTAGCACAGCTGATGCTGATATCCATTCTTCTTGATCTGGATCAGGATCCCATCGATGTGCAATACATTGATAAATACCTAAATCTTGTGCAGTAACATTAGTTATTGTTAATGTATTGTCTAAATATAATTAGAAAGCAAACAAAAAAACAAAAAAACAGATAGGAATAATGAGCAACCAGAGAAAAAAATTATTGAAACAAACAAATAAACAAATGAGTTAGTTATTCATTAAGATTACAGATAAGCATGACTTGTCAAGATAATTTTTATTATATATGTATCTAGCATATCGTGAAATAAATAAGTAGTATATTTATGCATACAGAGCAAAAATAAAAAAATGGAATGAAATAAAGATGAAACAAGCAAATACAAATATATATATTAGTGAGAGAGCTTAGTAATTTGCATACACTGACGAATAATTGCAAACACAATCTTGTAATAGGCTTTATATATGGCATCAGTGAATGATGAGATAGATATTCACAAGCTTTGAGTTTCAAGTTGGATTGATACAATTGAAACTTATTTAACAATATGATTGATTCATACTTATCAGAATTGGCTCATTATTATCTAAATAAAAATTACTGATGTTTTTGTATTCTGTATTCTTATACGTTGAGATGAAACTGTCTTTCAAAAAAAAAGAATATATGTCACTTGTTCCGATGTTATACGATAATAATTTCATATGATAAGTGGTGTATTCAATGTCGGAAAATCCGACTGTAGCTGCTATCTTGACGTGGACGTTGGGCTTGCTTATCGTGATGACTCGACTGAGCTATATTAGCAGCAACAGACGTACTACTGACCATGGAAGTGTCTGACACCAGTAAGATGTTGCCCTTTGATAACCAACATCTGTTTAGTGCTACTATTGTAGTGAACGAGAACACAGGTGGGGCAACCGGATTGTATTTAACGAAAATTACAGAGTTACTCAGTAAAATTGGAAAACCATATCGTAAATCGTTAATTTGCAAAATATCAGTTCATCATATCGAACTGGACTGTTCCTGTTGCCAAACATCAATCCATTGTCACTATTCATGCGTTTCATACAAATTCCATTGTTTTCTAACTCTTCCTTTCTTGATCTCTCCCCATCTTCTGCTGCCAGACATTACGTTGACACTCACGTCATATACTACTTATAAGTAGCTCGCACCACACTATGACTTAACCCATAGATCGATCATTGACTTTTTTTAATGAGGAGATAATTATCGAAAATTCAACAGGAACAATCATCAACACCACCACCAACAACAGTTAGTATAAATGTAATTATGTATTCATTATACTATCTAATGTTGAATGTTGCCTATACGTCAAAATCTTTGCTAACTACCTACGTTTGTTGGCCAGAATCACTTTGTTTATGGTATGTATATATAAACATAAATTAAATCATTAAAAAACCAATGTGGTGTTTAATAAATACATCAATGTCAATAATAATAATAATAATAAATATTACGTCAAATTTCATATCATCCAATCATAAATAAATATGCTATTTCAAAAGTACAATACTACTGATAATCTATAAATATTGTCAGTACAGTAATTAAGATGGGTTTTTATAGAATAATTGAACATAATGTCGTGGATAAAATTCAATAAAAACAAACAAACTGCAAGGTTCATTAGCTTAGTCTAATAAAAAAAACAGCTCACTGATCATTGGATTGAGTTAAAAAATAATTAGTGAAAGCACAATTAATTTCAGTAAAATAGTGAATATTATTTAGTTTGACATGCATGAATATTCACGAATGATTGATTTTGGATGAATTGCAATTTACTCACATTCACACTGGTGTTCATAAACTGATTAGACACACACACACACATACTATATTTATTTGGATTAGAATTCTTCTCTAGTTGATTGAACTAAAGTAAGTTAAGTTTGAATAAAAATATCAACTAATTGAAATATACTACTTGATAAAAAGAGCTCTATTGGAATACAACGTATGTTGATGTATTGGGGGAAACGTCAATAAATAGACTATGTAAGCCTTTTTTATGATTGTTATCGATACAAGTACTGGAAAGCTACTTTCTTCTATGCTATCCACAACTCAATTATAGGGAATCGAGCCAAAAACCTTCGTCTGACTATAGGTTGCTGAGTCGGGATTCAATGTTACACACGTCTAATTTCAATCATTTCGTGATATTCCATTGTCGTAGGTCGGTTGCCACCACCTGATAGGAGAGGCGTTTATTACATATTTATTTAAACGCCTAAACATTCATACACAGGGACGAAGAGAAGGTTCGAGTGCCATTGCTTCCTTTAGGATTCTGCAGCCCATGTACACCCTTCGTTTGGAATCAGGGTTTTAAAACTTTCCGAGGTAGATACTCCATTCAGCCAATCGGAGTAAGGCGCCGCACATTCACTTTTCGTAAACAATACACCAGCCACAAGAAGGGTTCTCCTGGCAGTGGCTATACATTCATGGTCATGTAAAAGAATATTGGGAGGGGAAGTGGACTCTCCACGCTCTCTGTAGTACCATGGAATTCGGGGTGTTTTAATTCTACTGGTACATACGGCGAATGTGAAAATCATTATTTTTTGTCTGTTCTAAATTACTTTGATAGATCAGTATCAACAACATTATGGTCCTGCTCACTTTAGAGATTATGTAATTCAGTGGTTTGAAAGATCGTCAGAGATGCCAGCTTAGAATCTAGGTCAGTGATAAGCTTGTATTTTTCAGAAACATAAGGAAAGAATTCTCTCTTTTAGCTGAAGTAATTCTTTCTTGCAAGTACAGATAAATGGAAACCAAAACATGCGTTTCGGCCAATTTAGAGCTCATCAGCCAGATTGGTTTTTAAGTGAACTGAATGTACGATGATTCATTTATTTGTCTCTTAACAATACTAGTTGTTTACGTGTACAGTACATACATTTATTGACACCGGAGGACAATGAAAAAATTTATGTATATCGCATATCGTCGATCTGTTGAATTTTAACAGCATTATGTTTTGTATGCTTGCTTCTTATGTGGCATTTTATTCATAAATATGACAAGAATTCCCATTCTGATGTGGCTATTATTTATGATATTGTTTACAATAAAATTTGTACTTTCCTAATAGAATTGATGTTACAATGAATAAGGGGGTTTATGTGGAAAATGTCTAATCCCAGAATGTTCTAGAGAAATAAATAATTGTTCTAAATAACACTTCCAAATTATATGATATGTTCCTAAGAAAATTGACTTTATAAGCAAATAAAATAGGGAAAACATGCATACATATAGAACTTGGTTTGTTTGAAGGATTAAAACTAGGAAAAAAAATGGATGATTTTTCAAGAAGGACATGCATGAATTAGGAGAGAGAGAGAGAGAGATAGAGATCATAAAAGTATAATTTTTAAATAATCAGTCAGTATACAATGCAATCCCAATTTAATAAACTCACAAACATATGTATGGAAAGTGTTGTGATATGCTGATGGCATTCGCAAAGTGAAAATAAATGGTTGTTTAAAAAGAGAGTAGAACTAAGTACACAGCAGTAGAAGAGAAATAGAGTCAAGACTAATAGACACTTTTAATGAATGAATTCTTCATTGAACAGTTTTAATCAACAAACATGCAAATGAAATAAACAAGCAAACATGATTAGTTGGGTTATTATTCATTGAGTGTTTTATGTAACTAATATAGAATGTATGCACATAGCACTGATCAATATGCGGCGTTTGGTTCAGCAACCTCAATAAACTTACGATTCCCATGAATTTTAGTGTAAGCACCTTAAAAGTTGATATGTAAGATTTTGTAGAAACACACACAAATATGTAGATGGATATAAAAAGATTAAATTTCAGTTTACGAAAAAATGTTTATAAACAGTTAGTCAAATATAAAAACGCAGAAATTGAACATCGTCGATTCAAGTTGTCAAAATGTGTCAACATACTAAAATGTCACAGTTGTAGATACAGAAGTATTGTGAGAGGTGAGAAGTAAAAAACATCCAGATGGAATATGTGTATACATATATTGGCGAAGCTAGTTTATTTACGAAATATGTATACAGAGTACTCAATCATATATCTGTAATACAAGCAAGCTGTTGACTGTCTTCCATCATATCTCGTCTTAGTCTTAAAAATACTCTGATTACGTTATGTATTTCAATCGCCTGACCCAACTCATTCTAGGAGACACTCTGTTGCTGCATACTACTTGGTGGCCACTTTATCAGTAGCATCCACCGCAAGATTATATTAGTGCTTGTAGAAATTACCAAGCATTGACAATCTGATTCCAGGATGAGGACATGAATTTGTGAAATAATTTTGAAACTAAAAAAGACCTAGGAGAAGACAGATACCAAATTCTTTTTAGCCATTGAGAGAGATTCAGACTTAAACGGCGATCATTGTTCGGATTTTAAGCGGACATCAACTACTAGCATTTGTAATGTGGCGTTGCAAAAATAATGGTGTTCATCATTTAATATTCATATTGTCAGGAGTCTATAATTTGTTCTCTTCATTTACGGTTATAGTGTGAATTACTCATTGAGAATTTTTTGCATATCAAATATATTATGTTACCCATCTGTTATCAAATGGAAACCAATTTTTAAAAGGTTCAACGGAGAAGCATCACAGTCATTTTGGAAGTGTAAGAAGGTTTATCGGCCCAATCATTGAAAATGTAACTAAGTATACTCATAAACATATGTTAACTATGGATCACACATGTTATCCAATGTATTATAGTAGTAGTGTGGTGTGAGCTACTTATGAGTAGTATATGTGAGTGTCAACGTAATGTATGGCAGCATAATATGGGGGAAGAACAAGAAAGGAAGAGTTAGAAAACAATGGAATTTGTATGAAACGCATGAACAGTGACATTGGATTGATGTTTTGCAACAGGAACAGTCCAGTTCGATATGATGAACTGATATTTTGCAAATGAACAATTTACGATATGGTTTTCCAATTTTACTGAGTAACTCTGTAATTTCCGTTAAATACAATTCGGTCGCCCCACCTGTGTTCTCGTTCACTACAGTAGTACTACTACTATTGCTACCGCTACCGCTATTCTACACATCTTAAGCTGTCACAGCGCATTACTTTGATACTATAGTACAACGTAAGGGGTGAGGTGGAGAGGATGATGTTCAAACAAATGAACACTTATACATACATACACACATACATACATAAGTACATTCACAAACCTTTACAATTTTCACAATAGGTCGATTGATATTGACTATCAACAAACAAATATATATATATTTGAATAGAAACAATTTTGATAATAATTTTTTTTTCTGTACAGAAAAGTACATACAATGCCAAACTAATATGCGCCATCTTAATAGATATATATACATATATACACATATCCCTAAAACACGGTAGACAATCGGATAAAGAACAAATTTAAGTAGATAACATTGATTAAGAAGTAGTCGGGACAACAACAAAAACAAACGACAAGAGGTAACAAAAACGAAGGAGAGATGGCTAACCCCATAGACAGAATAGTTAGTTTATTTTTTTGTTACCGATTAATCACACATATAGACAGTGAAATACAGAAAAAAAAAATATATATATATATATAAGAACACACAAAGAAGGCAGATAATCGATCGATGTGAACAATATATATGTTTATGTCAAAAGAGAATACAAATGAAGTGTATAAAACAAGTAAAACAAATCACTAAAACATTTACATAATAATTCATCAATAAATTATGGAATCTTGTGTAAACACCGAAGAGAAGGAAAAGGCACAAACACATAAACAACCAGAAATGAAAAACACTAACTAGCACAACGATGTTGTTATGTAATAAATACCATAGACTATTTTAAGTCAGTCGTTCAGATAGAGATGAATATGTAAACCTCCAGACATTATGGCACAGTGACATTCAGTTTGTATAATTCCATTGACATCCCAATTTTGATGCGTACATTGAGATTAGAAACTTACTGGTCTTATACACACTCTAAGCTCAAATGAGTTATCCGCTCAGCTAACTGAATTTGGATACACCAACAGAAATACATTGTGAATAAATCTTCAGTATTATATCACGTCAACGAAATATCACCCAAGATTTTCAAAGTATTGATCACAATGATCTCTTTCTGCTCTAGCCCAGGATGCCTGCATCTCGCCCCATACAACTACGTTTAACGGTCAATAATTTTATAATCTGTTATTATATTCTAATTTGGTTCCTAATTATCAACCATAAATGTGCATGAAGACGATGGTTGAATATCTGTAAAATGTATCCTATGCAACTTATTCAATGAGAATCAAAAGATTTAAGATTTTTTCCTAGTAACTTAACATCTAAACTTGGGATTACACAACTCGGCTGTTTCTTTGTATACAAGCTGTGTACTCCAGAGATATAAATGACCGAACACTAGTAATCTACATAAAATGTCTATTTTCAAAGATCACTTTTCAAAAGTATGAATTAAAAACCACTGACTGTCGTGCAGTAATAATTATCCACGCAATGTATCGAGTAAACTGTCAAACAATGTAACAGTTTTTTGGGAATTCAGTTAGACCAGAGTGTATTTTAGGCATAATAAAATTCAAAATAAGTCTAACAGTTAATGTATCGCATAACTTTCATTCTCAGGCTAGGCGAAGAGAGAAATATCATGGATTGATTCAAGTTAGACATTAACACCGTTAGATGTTGGCTTAGTGGACTATAAGTTAAGACAGGAGGTTCTGGGTTCGATTCCCGCTTGCAGGGTCTTGGTTGCGCACTGTTGACGATTCCTATATCTAAGGACAAAATGGCCATCCAGTGCTCTCAGGTTCTTAATGCTAGTCTAACATTCATCATTTCATGATTTTAAAGAGAGAGATTTTACAGCAAGAATAATGAATAAAAGTTGAATACTTTGAACTATAATCAACTGTTAATTGGAACTGTGATATAACAATTCAATAAAGAGGTTACGAATTATCTCATAGTCTATGAAAGTGATATTGTTAGGACGAACTGATCGGATTCATTTGAATTACTTATCACCATTATTATGATAGCTTACTGTGATTTACTTAAAAATTAGTTACTTTCCGAAAATTTATCGCTAACTACCTGTTTAAAAGTATGCCTTACATAACGTTATTTATTACTCTGTCTAGTACACACACCCCCACACACACTGAACACTGTTTAGTCTTGTATAACTTAGCCAATTCACTACCTATCTGTCAATAATGATTGATTTTAATGTTATATACTGAAAAGAAAAATGTTTAGTTGAAGTGTAACTATATAAATAAACATTGAATGATATGAATATATATATATATATATGTATATTCTGTGAGATATATACATAGATATGTATATATTGACGATTTTTTGGACAAAATACCACCACTATATCAAGCAAACAGTAACAAGAATGGTAGCCATAGTCATAATAATAATAATAATAATAATAATAATAATAATAATAATAATAATAATAATAATAATAATAATAAGAGATAATTTGTAGAGAATTAAATCAAACTTAAATAGAGGTTAGATGCAGTAAAAAGAACATAAATGAATAGAACATAGAGTACGGTTGAGAAAATCAACAAGAAATTTCATTGAAATCTAGAAACGATCTAAGGCCTAGTTAGAAATACAAGACGGTCGATTCGTCAAAGTATGAAACTCCTTATCTACGACCCAGCAATATCTTG